TGAGGATTTAGTGTTGTTTGTATTTTAAGTGGACCTCATCAGCTGGATGAGCTGGGTCCCAGAGCTGACTGAGCTGGGTTGGAGAGCTGACTGAGCTGGGTTAGAGATGGTCTCTTCGCATCCGGATATCCGCTGATATCCGGATGTCAAGAGGCCATCTCTAAGCTGGGTTGGGAGAGCTGACTGAGCTGGGTCTGAGAGCTGAACTTGAGCTGACCTGAGCTGGGATGAGCTGGGTCCCAAGAGCTGACTGAGCTGGATGAGCTGAAAAAATTTGACGAGCTCAGCTCCAGCCATTTTCCATTCCAAGTGGATGATGAGAACATGATTTTACTCCATTTGGGATGGAAGAATTTTGCAGCCACAGGTGATCATTGCTACTCACAAGGGCAGTGGCCCATTTCTGCACATTCCCAGCCGTTAAGGGAATGTATTTGTTTTGATCGGTTGGATGAATGAAGACCGGCAACTTAGGCTGGTATTTGACGTGCGGCAGGTGAGTCGCATAGATCTTGTTGGCAAGAATGTTGGCAGGATCAAATTCACTTGCTTTAACAGATAGATTGGATTCAGAAGCTTGTTGGGCGGCGGCCTGCTTCAAGTTGTGCTTGTTCGCTCGATAGCCAACTTCTCGTCTTTTTTTAAGCTTGCCGGGTTGACCATCGCAACTTCTAAGACTATGTCCGTGTGGTCCTTCCCATTATCGACAATGGTCGCAATCCAGTGAGAATACGAATTTTTGTCATTGACGGTATATTTTGCCGGCTTGAGAAACTCATCGGCTGCTGGAAGCTTCATCAAGATTTTCCAGTCAATGTGTGAAGATCCAAATCGTTGTGGTGAGACCAATCAAGGTCATACTTAGTACAAAATAGTTATACATAGTAGTTTTTATGATGTTACAACCTGATATACTTGTACTACATAATTCATTATCTTGTATCCAGTTCAGAAGGTTACAAAATAGTATTTTTACACATAGTTTGGTTACATAATATATAGTACTACATAGCTACAACATACTACATATCACACATCTCAAGATACAAATTTGTCAGCCTTAGAGATACTCCATAGTATCCAAAAGACTGCTAAATGAATATTGAATATTAAATACTCAATATGTAATATAATATGTAATAATACTATTTAATAAAACAGTATTTCATAAGATTATAAAGGGGGTTGCTCACTGGAAGTATCCCCAAATTCCTACTCCTTCAAGGACTTTGTATATATTCAAAACCTTGAAGGAAAAAAGGAATAAAACATACAAAAATATAGAATGAAATCAATGTATATTAAATTAGGATTAAATATACATTTAGGGTAACCTTAGAAATTTTATTCTACAAGCATAATCAATTTATTAAAACTTGTAGAAAAGAAATTACCACACTATGTCAAGAGTGTGGCACTTTCTACTAGTAATATTCTATTTCAGGAGACACATGATGTAATTGGCTATAAACATGCATCATGATGTCATGGGACATAGAATATACATTATTTGAAATACCTTGAATTATTCCCATTACATCAGGGGAATAATTCTACCATGGTATACTAAAAGAGAGATTCTAGAATATTCTAAGGAGGGCCTCAAGGGGACCTCTAGAATATTTAAGGAGGCCTTCTCCTGCCTAGGATTGGTTCCTCAGCATATTCACCCCCAACAAACTAAGTGAGTACAGTGAATATTCTCCTCCTACTTTTAGAGTAGTCTTTTATTATCCAATCCAACCCTACCTTCTTACTGGAATTATTATTAAGTTGAGAGTTATCCCAGACTTAAAACTTAACTAATTCCTTAAAAAGTAGTTGCTGCAAGACCACCACCTCTGACTGTAGCCTTTCAGCTCAGGTGCTTGCCAGCTACTTCTTGCAATATCAATTATTGCTTCCAAACACTCTACAATAACATATTCTGTTATTGTCTCCTACAGTGCTCTCTTGATTATTCAAGTGTCTTTAACTGAGGAGTGTGGACTTTATAACCTCTTAAGTGGGAAGTTTGGACCACTTAATAATTTGAGGGTGACTAGGAGTAATCTTGGTCTTTAACCTGAGTCCTTCAGCACAGTGATAGTACTTGGCTCTTATATTACTAAGCCAAAGTTTCATACACATAGCTGACAAAATTAGTCTTCCCTCAGTACCTTCTTTCTATGATAATAATCTTTCAGTAAATAGTATTTGTTTCATCTCAGATACCACTTATTCAGACTACATATAATATTTCATCCCATACATCTGCTTTCTCATCCAGATATTGTCATCTCATCTCACTAACCATCCACTTCTTTTCATACATCAATTACTTCATTCTACATTTATTTTATTCTACATTTATTTCATACTACAAATATTTCACTCTTACATTCCATTTCAAACTCATTACACATTGCTTATATCACCTACATTCTCATCATACATCTCATTTCAACTCATTGCTTATATCACCTACATTCTCATCATACATCTCATTTCAACTCATTGCTTATATCACCTACATATATATTTCACCACACAGATTTCTCATCTCACCTCAGAATATTTATTTCAGTCCTTATTTATCTCATTTCTTTTGCACTACATATTATTTTTGTCACAAACAGAAGTTACTTCATATTTTCTCCTTTTCAACATGTTTATTTCACACTACAAATTTGTCAGCCACATTTATTTCATAACCACTTGTCTTTCAGATACAACTTATTTCATATCATCTTCTTATTTCAGCTGATATCTTACCACTAGTACCTGATCAGAATCACCCACATGTATATAGAGAAGACTCTTTCCCACTTACTTTGTTCTGCATGCTTGCATTAGAGAAGTAAACAGATAATTACTTAGCAGACATCACTTATTAGTAGTTACCAGAAGTAATTATTATTGATTTTCCCCCAGAAGATAAGAAATTGAACCCAGAACCATTATTCCCCAGAGCCTCATCCTTACCAGGATTCCCCACATCCTCAATCTCTCAGCAGGTGACTTGTACAAGACATAAGTAATAAATCTCATACTAAGATTACCCACAGAAATAGCCACACCTTTTCTTTAATTCTTAGTGTAACTCTCTCCCAAGCCTTGACAAGAGGGCAGCTTCATCAGCATCCAAGTCTTCAACTCACATTTCCCCCTGTGTAGTTTTTCTTTTCCCCTCTAAGCTCTTTTCTTTAGCTTGAAAAGTTCCACATCGTATAGCATTTTGAATCCCCGCCTCAGTTCCTTTGAACTGCTTGTCACATTCTTTAGCCACAATATCTCAAAATTGATCAAGACTAGTGGATACCGCAGGGAATCAGATTAGGAACTGTTGTTTGGATTTTATCATGTTCCAAGCGCCCTGAGGTTTTGAGGCATCCTTCGGGGAAAACAGCTTGTAGCTGGTGTGGCAATCAACCATCTGGACCTGTACCAAACAAAAAAAATCAGTCCATGCAGCCCAAAAAAATCAAAAACAACCAAGCATACCATCAAGTTGACAGGTTGATCACCAACCCCCTGAACCCGCCAGTATTCGGAAGCAGAATAGTAACCCGGCAGTGGGTTTTCTCTTCTGAGGAGATCAAGACCGAATTAAGACATGTTGGCAATATTGGCTAGACAAGAAGACTTGTTGCTTCCTGGTGTTTTGGGTGCTTGTTTGCTTGTTTGCTGGAAGGCTGGAGCCAATAGGCCACCGATACCAATGAAGCACTGCCACAGCCAGTGTTCGCCGAAGTGGAAAGCATCGTGGTCATCGGTGTTATTTCACAAGGAAGAGGAAAAAAGAAAAAAAAACTGAACTCAAAATCATAGAATGCCATGACTTTGGCACAGCAAACTTGGAAATCTGTCCAAGCTTTCTTCAAAACACAATACATATAATCGGACATGCACAGATTAAGCCCTACTTAAACCCATATTTCTGGCTTTAAGTGATACATAATCATGGTTTTATACTACTTGTACACCCTCACCATGATCTACTTTCACCGTTAATCTACTATTATAGTGTATTTTTTCTACACTCTGGAAGCTACAAACAGCTCAAAAGGCTGAAAATTTCAAAAAAAAAAAAAAAAAAAAAAAATTTTGGCCTGACTATTCGGACTTATCCTGAAAATCCAGGGTTGGTTGTTGCCATCCGCAACTGTAGATTGGGTAAGGGATCTTTGTTGTGATTATAAATTTGTTGTCTACTTATTTATTGTTGCCAGATTTGCCGGCTGCAATCCACAGGATTGGTCCGGAGATCGATCTGATACTCAGAAATACTACTGATCCAGGTCTTTGGATCTTTTTCAGTGCTGCTGTGAGACACAGAAGCTAACCTGAAATAATAAAAGCCACCAGGGAGTTGTAAGAGGGGAGACCTCCGTAAATAATGTACTTGTTCACTTTACTTGGGATTCAACTGTAGGCTTCAGGAAGGGAAGGCAAATCTCATGCGCTCATCTTATGATCTTTCCCATCCAAGACTACCGAATGTGTCCATGTCATGTGCTGCTTTGGTATTTTTCATTTTGGATTATCCCTCCACTACTGTCTTGTGGGATGATTCGATTCTCGGTTTTGATTTATTCCTCTTCTTTCTCATTGCAATCCATTCATCTGTTTTCACTTCACGTGCCAGCGCCTCAATATCAGCCTTATCATCACTTTCAACTGCAAGTGCTGACTTATAAGTGAGTCTCTTATTTTCATCTCATCTGTCTCGCTTTTCCTCACTGACTTGCACTCATATCGTTGTCATCTCATGCAGCCGGCTCATCCCAGGAGTGGTCCGTTCACACGTACAATAACTAAGAGACCGAATCTCCACTCAGATTACCTTCTGCACAAAATCGACGGGAAGTCCCCCACCTGACTTCATTCATCTTAACCTTTCGTTCCACCCCTGTCACCATCATTCGTGATCAGAACCTCGATTAATCCACGACAAGAGCGAAACTTGCAATGTTAAATGATCATGAACCAAATCAAAATGAGATAATTGGTAACTAATCCCTACATTCCATCCGACTTCGAGCAAATAGAAAATAAAAATAATGACATCAGACTTTGAATCACCTTTTTTTAGATCAAATCGTCAAGGGGCTATCCATTTTGCTTACAAAATGGAATTGCAGAGACCTTCTTGCTCCCAAAAGCAGTCTACCCCTTAATGCTGATGACTCGACACGGGACCATGATGATGTGAGATTGGGCAGATGGAAAGGCCTATCACCCGATAAAATCAAGGATCAAAAAGCTCTCCTACTTCAATTAGAAACGCGCATTCTACCCTCATTAAAGCATCAACTGGCCGATCTGTTGAAGTCATTAGACCTAGCCGACCCGTCGAAAGAACCCAGGCCAAACCTTCTTGATGTCCTGGAAATTGTATCCCAGATCGGCCAGAGCTTCAATCAAATCAATGGCTTCCTGTATTCCATTGCTGGCAACCGTAACTCTTCAGAACACGACCACGATTACGGTGGTGTGAAATACTTCAGATATCGCCCATTAATGGAGAAAATCAATCGTCTGATGAGCCATCATATCTGGATAGTATTCCAGCGTCATATCCCAGGCATTCTAAAGCGATCGAAGGACCATCCGACTTGGTTGAACGATCGATCAGATCTAATCACCCACAGGGAGCAGCTGATTGAAGGAATAGCCCGATCTTCGGACTACATCGACACAATCATCAAATCGTCCAAGCGATCTGACTTCAATATTCTCCAAGACGAATGGCGAAACTATTCAAATGACCTTAATAATCATCTGAAAAGTATCACCGTAAAAATCAATCCAACAGATGAAGATGAATGTCTTCTAATCGATGTTGGTCGACCGGAATTTAAATACTACAAAGCCACCGTCGATCAAAATCATTCTATCAACACCGATTCAGCTGAAATAGATTTTAATTCGAATAACCATGAAGACACCCAATCCGATGCTAACGAAGATAATCAATCGGAGACCAACTGCTCGACGTGCTCCTCTGAAGAATCCTTTTTAAGATTCATGAAGCTTGCCCAATCAATCATCCCAGTGATCAAATTGGTCAGAATCTTACTCAACAAGCTATCGAACCCAATAAGTAAAATACCGTTCACGATCGATTCTAAGATGAGTTCGATGGACATCCAATCAGTGCAGAGTAACCTCAGCTCGCTCAATTACACTATTAGCAGTATCCTAAGCAACTTGCACTATGGGTATCATTCTGATCAGATTATGGATCAGCTAGAGAACGTCAAGATGTTGCGGGAGCGACTCTCGAGGGATTTTGATTCTGCCATAGCTTTGCTGTGTTTGTATCTAGTTCCTTCAACTGATATAGAGCTGGATCTTCCTGCATCTGGAGATCTCTTCAAAACTTGGTCTCTTGGATTAAGTGGACAATTCTCTTTGGCTACTAAAGTTTTTGACAAAGCTCTATCTGAATTCGAAAAGGAGATGAACTCATAATCAATCCATTGTCCACTATTTTCCAATCAACAACCCAACCTTTTTCATGTTTTAGAATAGCAAGTGTCCAATCTGTTCCAACATGAACAAGTGGTCAGTTTAATGATAGCTTGTAACCTTATAGAGAATTCCTATGCATCACCACAGTATGAAGAAACGCTTTTCTACGCATTGTAAAAAAATTGATTGGCATGACATCTTTGTATGTAGTTTTTTTAGAAGGCATAAGCTCAAAACTAGACGCTTGTTTACCAAATTCGCAACTCAACCAATGCAGAGGGCCCAGCGTATCTGCAAACATTGATTATGTACACTCATATGGCATGGTTTTTAAATGTATATTGAAGGGACAGGAATCCAAGCTGCCAGTGCCCAATTCGTTTCTAGTGTTACACTGGATGTCTTTGATGAAAGAGGTGAGCTCAAAGACCAGCCGGATAAAGTAAACCGTTTCGTTTCCTTAGGAGTCAGACTGATAAGAGTTTGAGATAGGCAGAGGCTGGCCCTCGCTGGATCGGTGGCACTGGCAGGTTGGTTGAGGCTGGCATGATGGTACTGGCACTGGCAGGTTGGATGGGAAGTGCGTATCGGAAATGTCTCACGCGGGGTCAACAGGCCGAAATTGTCAGAGCGTCAGGTAATCAACACCTCCGCAAACCAGTTGACCACAATTTATCAAGTCGGTCAACGCCTTAATGACCACTCAAGACTCAAGCAAGCTATCAAAAGTGAGTTTACCATCTATTCGCTCAATCTGTGATCACCGCAAGGTCTTGATGGTGATATTCGTGCGTCCTTCTAGGCTAGCGAGCCTCCACTCGGACTCTCGCCGATAATCTTAGGAGGAGCCACGTTTGTCAGTAAAACCCTGTTGACTTCATGTCCGATGTGTTTTCGGAAAAGGTGGTTCAAGAGGACCCAAGGGTTGCCAGTTCGCAATCAGTTTAAATACCCGTTCCGTTGCTTTGATTGCGCCCCGGTTAATCCTTGGATTTACAGTGACTATATGCGCTATGCTGATGTATCTGCATGTCTTTCTTCGAACAGTCCAACATCTACAACTCTGATGATGACCTGAAACGAAACACGCCTGAGTCGACCCTGTTATTTGCACTTCGAAATGGAATCAATGCCGTGGACACCGCACCGTACTACGGGTATGTCATGCATACAACTTACAAGTGATCATCAGGTCCGGGTAGAGTGTCCAGATATTAGCCTGCTAACTCTATGTCCGCCGCTTGTCCTGCTCTCGCACTGCTCACAGAAACAGCCAATCAATCATTGGCCAGATCATTTCGAAGCCCGAATTTAGGGCTGAATTTCCACGAAGGTTGGTTTTGTTTTTGGCCTAATAGTTAACTATTCTATGGTGCACACCCGTGTGTTCACTTGTATGAAGGTAGATATTCAGCTGATTGATTGATTGGGATTTCCCGATTTTTCTTGCATATGTATCGACATATTTTCTCTCTTTCATGTAGCTCTTATCATCTTTTGACCAAGTGCGGAAGATATGGCCCGAAAGATTTTGATTACTCGCCCGAACGAATCATCCGCTCGGTCAAAGAAAGCTGCGCCTTGCTGGTAGACAGGTTTCATCCCCTCATGTCACATGCTATCAATTGATGCTGAACTGCCCTTCCTCTTCTTCTTGATCTTCAGGGGACCGATTATTTGGATGCGGTGTACCTTCATGATGTCGAGTACGTGGCAGAAGATCCGGATGGCTTCAACAAAGGCGGCCCTAGTCGAATATCCTCCGATGGTCAAAGCACTGGTCAACTCGATCCCGCACCCAAGACTGAGAAATATGCCCAGAGCTACGGCCCCGGAGACGACACAGTTGTGCTTGCAGCCAAGACTTTGTTCCAGCTTAAGCAGGAAGGTTTGATACGTAGGGTAGGGATTAGTGGTGCGCTACCACTCGAACTATTTCCCGTTGAAAGTTAGGGAGGCTTATATGATGGAGAGTGCGGAATTTTGAATAGGTTACCCGCTTGGAACGTTATTGCGAATGTCACACCTGATCGTTACGCAACTGGACTGTCCGTTGGATCTAGTCATGTCGTATGCGTGTCTAACTCTCCAAAACAGTGCTCTAAGCAGCTATCTTCCTTACTTCCAAGCTGCTGGGGTCGTTCAAATCATCTCAGCCTCCCCACTTGGTAATGGTTTACTGACCACCCGAGGCCCTCCGGATTGGCAGCCAGCTCCCGAAGCTCTCCGCCTAGTGATCAAGGAGGTCGCCAAATCTATTCAAACGACCCATCATCTGTCCATCGAACGCATCTCCCTTCTCTACTCCATGTACTTCCCCCACACCGTGATCGGATTCTCGTCTGTTGACGAAGTCAAAGCGGCCTTAGAGGTTCTTGGAGAAATCCAGAACCCAAAGGACGCTTCAAGTATCTCCTCAGCTCAGGCTGCAGTACAAGATGCATTGAAAAGCTCTGGATATTTGAATTGGTCTTGGCCTTCGCCATCCGACTAGCTCTGGAGTCGATCTCGGTCTTTAGTGATTCATGATACATTATACAGACATTCCGGATTTACCCTCGCATCAGTTCAATGGGTAGCATCCAGTGAAGTTTTCGGATACATCCAATAAAAATCTTCATTCATTTGGACTAAATTTCTATCATGATTAAAAACACTTCAATACAACTGGAATGTTTATGGATTCCTTCGCAACTCTAGTATTAAGTTTATCTTGTTTTTGCACATCAGATGTTGTGAACAAATTGTTGTAACTCATTGTTGGCCCCTTGAAACGTAAACCCATATCCACGGTTGTTCTCCAGCATTAGAAGCATTATGTGGTTGATTTCATGGAAGTGCATTGTGTCTGATGATGTGTTTTTGCCGAAAGACCTTGAGAAGCTCAAAATGTATTTTGAAAGATCAGACCTTTTGTTTGCTTGTTTCCTTCACTCATCAGGACTAAGATGTCCACCTCTCCCACCATCAATTTTCATCTCCCAATGATAATACCTTAGGTGCACTTCAAGTTACGGAGTGCCTCTGATATATCAAGACCAACACATTTCTGGCAAAGACCCAGTCACTCGGGCAACAGTATGGGAATGAAGCTTCACTGCGGCGAGAGATATGGCAACCTCATTGACACAGCACACCGTAAGGCATCGGACTGCGTAGAGAAACGTGTGCGAGGTTCTGAAATGCTCCACCTGATGTATACTTTTCGAGTTACTTATGCGGTGAGAAACCGGTGGCATGAGAGGACTCGAGGAGCTTGATCCCTGACCTGCTTTTCAAATCCCAGCCAAAGGTTGACGAGTAATATTGCCTCTTTTCTCCAAAGATTCAAAACAATTCACTGCAAATTTCTGAAAATACTTGGTTTACCATGAAGCTCGTTCTCTCAGGTTTAGTTAAGTTATTATTGACAGCTGATTGCGGGCAGAAATCAAGGGAAACCATGAACTGACAGTAAACTGTCTCTTTTCCTTCTTTTTTTTTATCTCAGCTTTTTGCTACCCTCTTGTTGGCAGCACCAAGACCCGTGCCGCCGATGCGAACCCCTAAACGAGAGATTGACGAAAGCCCAGAAGAGATCCATCAACCGTCTTCAGAGCTCGAGCAACCTGTATTCCAGTATCAAGCGTCTTCAGAGCTCGAGCAACCTGTATTTCAGTTATCGGATTCCAGAGTACAGTTCGTGTCATTCAACTTGGGGGCTGGTAAAAAAGCTTCTATCAGGCTTGAATTTAGCGAGCCTCCATCCATGTCCGAAGTGTTTCATGCTCTTTGAAATTTCCAGCCGGAGATTGAAAGAGGGCTTGGAAGCGCAATCAAAGCGTTCCACATCCCATAAAGCTCACAAACGCAAGGCTTTGGCTTTGTGCCCCCACCTGAGGAGTACAAGTGTCATCAAGGAGCTCAAACTCAAGAACCTCAAAACAACACACTAACATTAGATGAAGCAAAGATGTTGCTGGAAAATACTGATATGATTGTCAAGCCAAGTGAAAGTGAACCAAGCCCTTCCCAGAGCACTCCAGGGACTGGGATAGTTGGAACTGGAAGCACTTGTAGTGGTGATGTGAATACTAGTGATAAAAGTGGGAAATATATTAAACAGGAAGTTTTCGGGGATCAATTGACCAATCAACAACCTATAATGGTTGAAAGAAGCTCAAGTCACCAGCCATCACTCAAGAAGGTGAAAGTCTTGGATCCAGAAGAAAGTGTCTGTTCTATTTGCCAAAAATCTTATGTGAATCCCATGAAAATTTCAAATAATGATTTGGTATTCAGTCACATCTCCTACTGTCCACTTTGCAAACAACTTGGAAAAGTATAGAGTATTGCAAAGATTTCAGAGCTCATTGTGAGTATCACTCTTTCAATTTCCTCATAATAAAACCATCTGATTCATCCAAGTATTAACTTAAAGTGATCTATTGATTTGCCCTCTGGTGTTTTCAAAATAAAAGATATCTGTTTCTCTTCCTTGTTGAGATTGAACTAGAGATCGTTCGTTCGTACTCGGGTACCTGTTGGTACCTAGGTACCTGTTGTTTTTTTTCAGAAAATAGGTACCAAGTACCGCACCAGGCACCTCCCGGCGGGTACCGGCGGTACTTTTGGCAGGTACCGCGGGTACCTCCCCTCTCTTCCTCACTTAGTCTGACTGCAAGGTTCATTACAATCCTTTTGCATCTTGTTTGAGTTTTTTTGGGGGGGATTTTTTGTGACTATCATTTTATTTTAAAAACATAAAAAATATAAAGTCAAAAACAATTGAAAAGAATTTAAAAAAAAAACTGTTTGTAATTGCTGAAAAAAAAGAAACAAATTAAAAGAAAAGAGAAAAGAGAAAAAAAAGGAAAAAGAAAAGAGATAAAAAAAGAGATAAAAAAATAAAAAGAAAAAAGAAAAAAAGTAAGAAAAAAAAAGAGAAAAAAAAAGGCCTTGAGGCTGGGGGGAACCCCAGCGTCCCGGCCAGGTTGACCGGAAGGGTTTCCTTCCGGTGTGGTAACCCATACCTTTCCATAGCATCTATTATTTTACTGTACATTCACTGGGAATTGTTATAATATTACTACAGAATCAGATTCTACACCCCTTTTTACCTATAGTCACTCACTCAAGTCATATCTCATTTCTTACTGGTTCATTAGTTATTTGCAGTTTTAGTTTTACAGATATTATTCTTTACATTTACATTGCACATTAACTACATACAGTACATATTTACAGATTACCACATACATCATATTTTTCTCAAGTATTATCTTCTTACATATATCTCTTCACATTACATCAGCCACACTCCTTTACAAGTACTTCTTTTCACATTACATACTACATATATTTTCTCAGACACACTCCTTACAACTATGCTTTCTCATATGCCTTCAGGATAACAGTAGTACACTCTTTCACAGTCTTTATCTTTTGGGATTGTTTTTCTTTACTCATCCTCCCTTTTGATTGTTTACTTTTCACATCTCTTGTTCTACATTTGTACATTGGGCTCTCATAGCCAGACTGACTGTAACCTGTGCTCATTTGTACCTTGAAGTATATATACAGTCCTCTTATCATTTTTGTACCCCCTTATGCAATTTTTCCCCGACAGATATTATTGTGCCCCTCAGATAAAATCTATTTTACTTTCAGAACTCACTATAGTGACCTTGCCCTGTTTAGGTGCTTGCCCCAGAAATACCTTTACACTCAGTGTCCTCAGAGCTCTGCTTTATTTACCACCCTCATAGTCTCACTTCTTCCCCTGTAGGTTGATAAGGAACAATCTCATCAGTTATAGCAGTCTAAGAAATAGATAGAAATTAGCCACACCTCTTCTTTATTTTCTTAGTGTAACCCTCTCTCCTCAGCATTAGTCTCAGAGGGCAGCCTCATCAGCACTCATAGCTTAACTTACAATACTAGTAGTGTAGTTTGCTATTCCCCTCTAAAGCTCTGTTCTGGTTGTTCAGCAGTTCCACAAGTGGTGTCCCAACAGTGGCCTGATTTCCTTTAGATTTAGTCCTAGTTACCTATAACTATCAGTTTGCAGTACTTTTCACTTACCTCCCTCACCCATCCCATTCCTCTTGAAGTACATTTCTAGTTCTTTTAAACCTATTAAATTCACAAAACATATCAGCTTTCCCTCCTTGCTATTATTTTTTTCTTTTCCACCTTGGCAATAAACCTTTAGTAATTACACTTCTCTAGAATCTTCTTTTACAACCTTTTTTTTTCTTCACCTACTTTTACTATGTCCAACCCTCCTCAACTCTCACCCTTGGACCTTTCCAACTTGGAGCACCTTGCCAGCACCTATCTTGGACAGACTGCCACCAGAAACCCTTGGCAACCCACTAACCCTGAGACTGGAGCAGCAAATCCTGGAACCTCTAATGCTTTCAACCAATACAGGGACAATCAGCCTCAGTCCTCTGGAAATTCAGACCTCCTTGGACTACAACCCAATTCTCCCAACCCCTCAATCAGATCTGCTCATACTCATAGGACTCACTTCTTGGAAAAGGAACCAACTATGCCTGCCTATGCTGGACCCAGAGGCAAGAGTGTCAAGATTAAACCCATGGATAAAGACCTTTTGTTTGATGGAACTAATCTACCTATTGAGAAATTTATCAGAAGATATGAGAATGCAGGGTCAGCTGATGGTGCTTCTTCTAGGGATTTGGCCAAACAGGTCCTCTCTTTCATCAAAGGACCAGACCTCAAGGATGAAGTAGAAGAAATGACTGGACATGAAGCTGCTGACTGGGAACTTTTGAAGAAACAGTTACTCAACAGGTTTGGGACCTCTGTTCCTTTGGTCAAATACTCCAAGCAGGATCTCAAGAGACTGGTCCACCAAGCTATCCAGTCTGGAGGAATCAAGACCCTGGAAGAATTCAAAGTTTTCAGATCCAAATATGAAGTCATCACCAATTATCTCTTCACCATGGGCCATATCTCTCACTTGGAGGAATCTAGGGAATACTTGTTGGACTCACTCAGCCCTGATTTGGAAACTTCAGTCACCAAGGAACTCATCAGCAAGAATGAAATGTTGGCCTCCAGGGATGGTGGGGATATACTTCCAAGCTCCAAGGTTTTAATCAACTACATCCTCAGAGAAGTTCAGTCAGCATCTTTCATGGCCAGAAGAAACCTCTTCAAGATGGAACCCACCAAGGACAACTCTTTTTCCAACTCCACTAAGGCTCCTAGAAATCCCAAGCCTTCTGTCCCTTCTACAAGCAAGTCAACAGACCAGAAATTGGATGAGCTCACTAGGCAAATGGCAGCTTTCACTTCTGGAAAAATGGTCCCCCCTCACCTTTCTGGCACCTCTTCCCAGCAGAATATCCCAGCTCCTAGGAACCCAGACTTCAAGTGTTACTATTGCTTTCAACCTGCCCACAGTACCATGAAATGCAGTCTTCTCAGCTATGATGAATCCCAAGGCCTAGTCATCAGGGAAGGAAAGACTTACAAGCTTCCTGACAATACCACCATCCCCTGGGATACCTCTAGACCAATCAAGCAAATAGTGGATCAGTACTCAAAGGAACCCTCTGGCATCATTTCTTCATTTGGACAACTAGAAGAACTCACTGAAATTCATCCTTCTGTTTATGATGTGGACTTGGGAAAAAGGACCAGATCTTCCAAGGACCAAGATGAGGAGGAGCCAGCCACAGAGAAGAGAAGCAGGAAGGAGAAAGACACTCTTATGGATATGGACCAGGATGACTTACTTAAAATGGCCACTCCCCGTCAAGCCTTCTCAGAAACCCAGTCCTCCTGTTCAACCCAAGCCCAGCACCTCTACTCAGACCAAACAAAACTCTGCCCAATCCAAAGTCAGGTTTCAAAACACTGAAGATCCAGAACCCAGCAGTCCCAAAGAGAAGCCTACCAAGAAGACCTATTTGGAAAAAGCCTTGTCAAAGGAATACCCCCAGGTAGATGAGGCAACTGCCAGCAGATTTCTTAAGGAGACCAAGATAGAGCTTAGCTGTGGAGAACTTTTTGCCCTGGCCCCTGGATTTTCTGAGGTTGTTAAAAGAAAAATTTCCAACAGAAGAGTGCCCATTGAACCCAACACCTCTTCCAGCCATGCATCCTTGGAGGACCTTGCTTCTTCCAACCATGGAGCCCTGGATACTGATGAAGAAGAAGACAGGGATTCAACCACTCATTACTCTTGCCCCCTTGGCTACATCAGACTTGGAATAAATGGTACAACTCACCAAGCTCTTCTGGACACTGGCTCCATGGTCAACCTTATTCCTGAAGAAATAGCTCAACAACTTGGACTAGTCATCACAGAAAGAGAGATGAAGCTCAGAGGGATTGGAGGCCACCACACTACCATTCTGGGGATTGCTGAAGGAGTTGAAGTCCAAATTGGAAAAGTCACCAGGGCAGTTCACTTCTGGGTTGCCAAAGGAGGAAGTGTGCAATTCATCTTGGGGAAACCCTTCTTAATGGATGTATCTGCTCAAATCAAATACAATGGACCCAAAGGAGAATCACTTTCAGTCTTGGACAACAAAGGAAATGCCTACTTAATTCCAATTTGCTGGCCCAACCACCACAAATGGGAAACCTCCCTTCCTTCTTTCTTGGTCACCAGGGATTTTTTGGACCAGAGGCAGGATTTCAGATCTACCAAATAGAGTATCTGGACCTGTCACAACCACCCAAACAACCAGAATTAGTCACCTATGCCACAAAATACAAATCAACTCTAAAAAAAATCAAACCTGTAAATCAACCTATGCCCCTTTCCCTCAATCCTCCTCTTTCAAGACCACCACTCTCTAGAGACCCCTATGCAACCCCTTTAACTCCGTTCCCACCTTCATTTCAACCCACCTCCAAAGTTACACAAGAAAGACTGGATGTTATCAATTTTGGCCCCCCTGGATGGCTGTCAAAGGAAGAATACAACCTATTAGTCTGGGTCATCACCCTCAGGCAGGGAGCCTTGGCCTTTGTGGAACAAGAAAGAGGACTACTCAAACACACCTATGGACAACCTTACATCATTCCTGTCATTCCTCATGAGCCCTGGCAACAAAAACCAATTAATATTCCAGCTCCAATCAGGCCTCAATTCATTGAACTGGTAAGGGAAAGACTCAAGACTGGCCTTTATGAACAATCCTTTTCCAGTTACTCCAGCCCTGTCTTCTGTGTAAAAAAGCAAGATGGTAAATTAAGAATAGTTCATGACCTTCAACAACTCAACAAAGTCACCATTAAGGATGCAGGTCTTCCACCTTCACCAGAGGAATTAGTGGAGTCATTTACTGGACATGCTTGCTATGGACTTGGGGACATTATGGGAGGCTATGATGAAAGAGAATTAGCACCAGAATCCAGACCATTAACAACCTTTGAAACTCCACTTGGCAGGTTCCAACTCACCAGACTTCCTCAAGGTGCCACCAACTCAGTTGCAGTCTACCAGGCCCAGATGACTTGGATTCTTCAAGATGAATTGCCAGAAAACATGGGAATTTTCATTGATGATGGAGGAATCAAAGGACCAACTTCAGACTACAATGGAGAAACCCTGGAGGCCAACCCAAAAATTAGAAGATTTATTTATGAATATGCCATCACTTTGGAGAGGATACTTTTCAGAATTGAGGAAGCTGGACTCACCATTTCTGGCAAGAAATTTGCTTGCTGTGTCCCTGCTCTGGATCTTGTTGGCCATGTTGTCTGCAAGGAAGGAAGAAGAATCTCAGTCAAGAAGCTCAACAAAATTGAATCCTGGCCAATTCCCACCACTCCAACAGCTGTCAGGGGATTCCTTGGAATTTGTGTTTATGTCAGAATGTTCATCAAAGATTACTCCACCATCACTGCACCTCTCAGAAAACTCACCAGGAAGGACTCCACCTGGGATTGGACTGATGAATGCCAGGATGCCTTTGAAGAACTGAAGAAAATCATTGGGACTGACATCACCCTCAAGAAATTGGACTATGGACCTGGAGCTGGCCTCATCAAGCTTTCTGTGGATTCCAGTTACATTGCTGCTGGAGCAGTTCTTACTCAGGAGGATTCAGCTGGACTGGACAGACCTGTTATTTATGAGTCAGTGGTCTTTTCAAAAAGAGAATCTGAATACTCACAATCCAAACTTGAGCTCTGTGGAGTCACCAAAATCCTCAAGAAACTTCAAACCAAACTTTGGGGCCAACATTTTCAGCTCAGAGTGGATGCCAAGTGCCTTATTGGAATGATCAACAACCCCTCACTTCCCAATGCCCCTATGAACAGATGGATAGCCTTTATTCAGCTTTTTTCTTTTGATTTGGTACATACTCCAGGTAAGACTTTCACCATGCCAGATGGACTTTCCAGGAGGCCCCCAGATCCAGATGAAGAAGATTGTCCTAGTTTTGATGAAGATGAACAATGGATGAAGCCACACCCTGGATTTGGAGTCAAACAAGCTTTTTCTGGAATGCTGCTGGGGACATCAGCTCAGTTGGGGGAGGGGGTAACTTCTCTTCAACAAGGAATTTGGAAACTTTTGGAAGAATACCTTGCAACAATGAACAGACCTCCTGGATGCAGTAACCTTGTCAGCTGGCAAGCAAAATACAGTTACCCCTTAGCTAGTCAACTGAGTATTTTGCTACACCAACTGCACTTCATACATTTCACACTCATGTCACTCCTTTTCTTATTCATTTCACTCATTTCATTATTAACATACTCTACATATGCTTGTATCTAGTTGGCCTTGCCAAGCCAGATATATAAAGTTGTATGGACTGAAGTCTATTGTTCCTCAGACTTTCAGAAGAGACGAAAATAATAACACCCTTTTATTTTAAATCATTCCTCTTCCATTTGGAGATACATCAACTCATCACTACTTCAAATTGGCCTGTTCCCTTCAAATCACCGCATCCCTGTCTGGAAATCCAAGCCTGAAATTCTCAAAAACTTATCAACGGCTGGGCGTGAACACCTTGGACCGTATTAGATTCTTTCTACGACTTGGAGCCACTGGTCAACACCAGTAAACTTCCATCGAGCAGATTCTAGTCACCTCGGAGTAACCCGCCGCTGACAATTGGCGACCACCCCTTATACCTGTACACCTGGACAGCCCTGTGCAGACGGAACCCTCGCTTTACGAGGATTCACCTTTTTTTTCCAGTTTTTTTTTAAGAAGAATAAAGTCTGGTTCAACCTTGCGGATTAACACAGATAAATCATCATCGTCTTGTTATCCCTCGTCGTTTCTTGGTCATCAAGCCGGACGACAAATATCTCTCTCATCTCTCAACCTCATCATCCTCAACCCTTGGTATCTTAAACCACCACCACCGCTTTTGGTCGTTCTGGTGCAAGCTTCATCCTTTTGTTGGTCAACCTCCCATATAGCCCTTTTTTGTTTTTTTTTCTTTCTCTTCCTTTCCTTTCCTTTTCAATCAATCATGTCAATTGCAGACGAGATGGTAGTACTTCAGAAGCAACTTGCCCAACTCCAATCCAAGCTCAAAGCTCTCGAGTCGCGATTAGAACAGGAGGTGTCAGCCCGAATCGCAACGATAAAGGATAATTCTATCATTAACGATGTTCATTCGACAAGTCCTCCCTATCCTTCGGTCAAATCATCTGCAAGTACACAGAAATCAACTAGGTCAGCTCAAAGTCGAGATCCAAGGACGTTACGAAGCCGCTCGTTCAAGGTGATGCGGCATCTCATAAACATCGTCGATGTCTCACGAGCTGCAAGCGCAGCCAGCGAGCTTGAGAAGAAGGGTACCACAATAGATAGCTCGCGCGATCCGATTGCCTCTGTTTCATCAGTGACCGAGTTGAAATCCTCAGCGAAGCCGACAGAAGCAACGAACTCGCCAACAACCAAGTTGAAAGCCTCAGTGAAGCCAAAAAAAGCAACAAACTCGCCATCGAAGGGGCCGTCAGCTCTATTGAGTAGTCAAAAGAAATCTTGTGTCTCGTCTCTCTCGCTTCAGCCTTTGATAGATTCCCAACCACCGGTCACCCCGATATCGATCAAGAAGCGTCTTACACCACCTAAAAACCCAAAAACTATTCCCAGTACAAGCTCTTCAACCCCCCGTCGATTGCATCCTACACAGCCTCGCCGAGTTAAGCTATTAAACGACTTGCCCAGCACACACGAAGAATCTGACTGCAAAAAGTCCCAATATACATCTGAAGTTATTGAGTACAATGAACTCCGACATGGCTGCGGACGATTTTCTCTCCTCAAGTACGATCCCGCTGTACTAGACCTCCTACCAGCATCGGTCAGAGACAGAAGATTTGTGGAGACAAAGACGGTGACTGATGTAGAAAACTTACCGCAAGCATCGGCAAACTTAGTTAGAAGACAGGTTCTTGGTATTTGGGAATGGAAAGCAGGTACCTCAAGAGCTACACTTCACGAATACAAGACACCTGAACTTGGGACTACTATAAGCAACAGAAGATTTAAGTTTGTTGGATTTGCATGGAAAGGTGCTTTAGGACAACAGCCCCCAAGAATAGAAGAGCTTCATGAAGACATCTCGCAAGGCGCCGACACTCTCAGATGGTATTGGTTCAAGGATCTCTGGTTACTTTTTTACTTTGATTAATTTTTCTCAAATGATAGCTTCATCATTTTTTTTTCTGTTTTTTTTAGTAGTAGCAAATGTCAGCTGGCAAGCAAAATACAGTTACCCCTTAGCTAGTCAACTGAGTATTTTGCTACACCAACTGCACTTCATACATTTCACACTCATGTCACT